AATTAGAGTGAATAAATTGGGACATGTGTGTTAAATTTAACACAAAATCTTTTAGTGTGCGAAACCGTTCCTGTTATTTTGCATAATCTTAAAATGCGACAGACACATATAAAATTCTGCTTCTATTTCTTTTTCTCCTTTTCTTTTTTAATATGTGAAGGGAGATTTTTATTCGCGCGATACTCATCATATTTCTTATCGCGAGTCATAAAATAATGGCTTGCAATTCGCGGTCATGTGTGCTTTCAGATGGCGTGTACCTTACATTTATTACGTATGCACGCTATCGGCGTCACGTCGCGAAAAGTTTTCTGGTAGGAATCTGTCCGCGTGCGCGCACGGCAAAACGGACCAACTTATTCCGTTTGCGGACGGGAAGCACTCTCGGGATTCCGCTTATAGCGAGCATCGAGGAATTTCCTTCATCTCGGCATCGATCTCGCCATCCATGGGGAAGTATTCGAGAACACCGGCTGCATGCAGTACCCAATACATACATACATACATACATACTATACATACATACATACATACATACATACATTCATATATATATATATATATATATATATATATATATATATATATATATATATTGATGTGGATTTATAGTCACGCGCCTCCGCGTGTAGTATATTAACTCCGTCCTCTTCGGTTCGTGGTTTCGCGTTAGATAAGGAAATCGATACTTTCTCGCCGTTTCACTTAACGATAAGAGGCTTCGTCGTGTTGAACAAACGTTAATTAAACCGAATCCCGCGAAGAATGCAAATTCGTGCGCCGTTATCACTTGCGCGACGAGGTCGTCTTGCGAATTCCCGCCGATCGATCTTGATATATTTGATTATTTTTTGATCGATTCGCTTATGTCGGCTATTCATTTTCCATAATGGGAAAGCGACACGACTCCGCTCCATGTCGCAAGTTATTATATCGCATCGAGTTGTTTGATTAATCGGAGGGGAAGAGAGTAAGTTCCCTTATACGGCAGATGATCTCGGAAATTGTATTCGAAGCTCCGGCCTCGTCAATATACGTCCGGAAGGTCAATATCTCGGGATGAATGCCATTGATCTAGCCATCCAGGCCGCAAAACCCTTCAGGAATTCCGATTAGTTCTACGTTAATCACACGCGCAGCGCGAGTCGGGATGTAATTAACTTCGATTATTCAATTAATTTCCGATAGGTATTGGAATGTATGGTAATTATTAACGAGAGAAAAATTTATTTTAGAATGTTGCTACATTATAATATCGAAATTGCGTTCAATTATGAAACTGCAATTTAATGCACGGGATGTGGTAAAAATACGCGTTTATTCTCCAACGTAATTTTCAGCCCTTTTTCGTGCATCTTGGTTGCAATCTTTCTAAGTATTTTCGTGATACGAATAATATATCCAAAAATTAACCGCAAGAATTTTACACGCAGAGACAATGTTATAGTTTTTTTTTCATATAAATTATTTTTAATTTTACTATGTTTCCAGTAGTAAGGTCATTCTTATTAAGAAATATAATAAATCTCACAACACTGAGAGAAGAAATGGTCGATTTAACTAAATTATAATCATTTTTAATCCCAACCACATTGATTGTTCTAACACGAAAAAATGATAATAGTAACAATGCATATAAGGTTATTTTCGGTAACTTTAGTAGAATTTAATTTAAAAAATAGTTTTATTGACTATAATAGTAATTATTTCTCTATATAATTATAATTATAAATACGAAACATTTTTTCTCAGTGTAGGGACATACACAGAGGAAGAAAATATTTAAAAAATAAAAAATATTTATTTATAGTAGATACTAATAATATATATTTGCTTATATTAATAGAAAATATTTTTCATATAAAAAAATATATGTTTTCCTAAAATCTTAGATAAGTAAATATGTTAATAGTATTCACCGAATAAATATAAGTATTTTTTTAATTTATAGATATTTTTTCTGTTAGTGTAACAAATTTTTAATAGCATATTTCAGTGTTGCTGAAGATATGAATGACACATTGAGATGAAAAGATAATAATTTACTGCAAAATACATCGATCTATTCCTTAATTACAAAATTCTACAATAATTTTTACAAAATTCTCTCCATGCACGGAAGTGATGGATAAATGGACGGCAAAGTGTGTTGCTAGAAAAAGAAAAATCGACTTGTACTGAGTGTCGAACTACCAGATTGCTACTAGTCACGAATATAATCACAGATACGTAGCCTCTTGCACGAATAACGCGATACGCTGGCCATGAAAGACACTGCAATAAATCATCGGTTGTGATGGATCTGGTACAATTGCACAAAGAAAAGGAGGAAAAAAGCTAGCAGCACTGATTGCAAAGTTACGCATTTTAATAACGTTTCGTTGAGTCAAAGTGGCTACGAGTAAAAACGCGAGAGGCGCGGTACGCCAGAATCTGAGAACGGGACAACAGGTGTAATCTCATTAACGTCCTTCAGAAAACGGCGGCCGGTGTCCCTCGATTGGCAGCTGCTTCTCGAGGCTGCGCGAGGCGGAACCGCAAAACCGACAGTATCTCTCGCTCGGCGGAGCTTCCTCGATTTTCAGTTTCGCGTACCACGCTCGAGTTCGGGTCTTCATATATTTGCTCGCGTGTTAACACCTGACTTGCTTGCAACTCGATACGCCCGTATTTAATTACGTACGAGTGACACGCATCGCGCCAACACATCGTGTGTGTGTATGTGTGTACGCAAAGTGGGCTCATTATTATTGCGCGCTTCGAGAAACGCGCCCGCGCGCGCCTTTTAACCGTCGAGCGCCGCAACTTCGCAACGGCGCGTTTAAGACCGGTTTTGCCATTGTGCGAACTTTCCTCCGTCGCTTTGAGAGATTCTGCGAAACTTTACCTTACCTAACCACCCGTATATACGTATGCACGGCCAGTCTCTGGGCCTCTGCGGCGATTACTCGATAGTTTGTCCCTCGATACTCGGCCACGACGCAACTCAAAGACAATCGTCGAGCGAGAGAGTGGCGCTCACTCGGCGGCGACTAGCATTACTGTAAATTTTACACAGTTGCATGTGCCACACTGAGAAAAATAGTTTTACTAATTTAACAAAATACCAGTTCCCATAAATGGTCGGTAAAGTAAGACGGCAAGCAATTCCGTTATGGAAACAAATGATTTGTTGCTTTTATTTTGCTACTGTGGCAATACTTCTATAATGGATACAGATACTACAATTAATTCAATAAATGATAAATTTAATTTGTAAACAATGCAGAGGTTGAAAAGGTTAGAAATGACGTTCATCAAATCAGTTGTATTAACAAGGAAATATTTCTTTCTCGAAGAATTTGAAGGAGAAAATAGCAACGCATTATTATTACATAAATATCGGATCTGTTTCTTCAAAAGCACTTATTTTCTGTGCCGCAATATTTCATGTATATTATACACACACATCACCTAATAACAGCTATCTCACTCTGACTAGGCTCGGCAACATGTGATGTGAACTCGTACGGGAGAGATTCATTTTTCTTCGAGCAAATCCTCTACTTACGATGCTTGCCGTTGTATTTGTTGGTGTTATTGATATTATAAGTTGTATTTACAATGAATTTTGTACATCCAACAAATAACGTAATTTATATCTCTGGCAATGTATGTCTGTTAAAATGACAACTGATGAAAAATTATTTGTAACGATAACTATTCAATCTGTAACGATCATTAAACAGCAAACATGCTTTTGCACTGATAATAGAAGGATTTTTCTCAGTACACTTGCGACATATCTTTACACAATACCATTATTGAGTAAAATGTTTGATATTTATAATAATAATCATATAGAAAAATAATCATTTCTCTCTCTCTTTCTTCTCTCTTCTTCTATAAATTATGATCAAATCATTTTTTAGTCAATTGTACAATAATTTTAGTGATAATGATGTTATATGCATGTTACTACTACTATTTTCACGTTGGAACAACTAAAAAATATAATTAGAGTCAAATTGGGCCTCAACTATATTTTTTGGTTGTTCCAACGCGAAGATAGTACATTTTTCTCTCACAAGTAAACCTACCTAAGAGGATAATAGGAGTGAGAACATTAAAAAGCTATAAATTGTCCATGAAACTCAAAGTGGGCCAAAATAAAAAAATATGATCTAGATATTTTTTGTATTTCTACATTTGTGCCAAATTAGGAAAAAATCGGAGTGTAACTTTTAGGTAGGTTTACTTGTCAATGATAGTTCAACTTAAGTAATCGTATTGGGGAGATCAACGCGCACACATCTCAGCTACTGGTGATGCGCGTTTGCGCATCAAAAATGAAAAATATAAATTTGCACATCTATTATCGCGCGTGCCGTTAAATACGACCTTGTCGCTGCGCGCACGTACATACTGACGCACATACTGACGGCAGCAGGTATTGATATCTGATTATTAGTTTATAAGTTGACTGTTCGACTCTGCGCACAAATTCATAGATTTGAGCGCACGTTGCACTGTTCGTCGCTATGAATTTGAATATTCGCCACAAGCGCTTAATGAGATTGACTCGGCTCCAATTACCTAAAGAGCTTTTCCGATGTGCTGGCTTTAAGCTTTATAAATCGTTTCTGCCGTTCAAGCACATATTGCTGCTTCATGAAGCGAATCAGCGCATATATACTGAGAAAATAAATGCTCGATTTAACTAAAATTATAGTTATTTTTACACAAAGTTATTATCACTAATATTATAGTAGAATTTAATTTATTTAATTTAATATTTAATAGTAAAATTTAATTTAATTTAAAAAGTGGTTTTCTCTTGACTATAATTTATTGTAATTATTCCTCCATGTGATTATAGAGTTACAAGTATCGAACATTTTTTTCTAAATATACTTCCGCGATTATCGAATATTCGTTCTTAATGTCGAACTCAATTACACAATTCAATTATACAATCGTGTTTATCGAATATATATTCTTAATCTTGATTTTAATTACAGATATCGGGAAAACTTCGCATCTCGAGCTGTAAGAGGAACGGCAACGTATTTGGTAATTATTACTTTCTTCTCTCAAAATATTTTCTTTCAATATAGTTTCTCCTCTTATACTGATCAAACAGAAAAAATCTAAGGCACGAAGGGATTACAAGCAAAAACCTTCGCTTACAATGGGCAAATATGAATAGTCGTTTTTTACTTCCGTAAATTCTCAAAAATAATTTGGTAATTAAAAGTAATCGTCTTCTTAAAAATAATATAAAATTTTGAAGGTAATATGTGATATATTACATTTTAGTCGCAAAAACAAGTTTATATAATTTATGCATGCAATATCATGGAAAAAAACAATTGGATCGAGAAAATCGGCGGTCATCTGTCTTTAAAAAAATATTGCATTGAATTACACGTTATACGATAAGATTTTGTTGGGGCAAATTTCTGATAAAATATAAACGATCCAAAAATGCTGGTTATAGTTACCAGAATTCTATTCGAGCTAACAAGATTTCTGGTTGACTTGAACAGAATTCTGATATCAACCGGAATGTTTCGTTCATTCATATTTTACCAGAAATTAGTTAATCCAGCCAAACCTCTCTTTCGTGTATCTTTCTCGTGTAGTGCAACAATAAGTGTGTTGATGCATTTGCTGACCAGATCTCAATCATTGAAGCAATTGCTGACTCTTATTACAGCAACTACTAAATAATTCGTTCAATCGACTAAACGTTTGCTTGAACGAATTTTGCTCGTTCAAGCAAAATGCCTCGTCAACTCGGCCAATTTTTCTCTCAGTGTGTATGTGTTCGTGAATATGATCAATACTCGGTCGATTGGTAAAGTTTTGTATCTTCATGACGATATATTTTCTACGAGAATATTATCTGTTAAAACGTCGGAAAAAAAACGACAGCAGCGCGAAGATTCGAAGCGCAGTTTGCAAGAATAGCGCACAGTTTACCTTCATGTCACGCGTTTCTTGTAAATCGCGCCGCACAAGTTGGACTACAAAAGTTAGATCTGAGAACCGGAAAAAGCTTCTTGAACTTGGCGATCCCCGCGAAAGTTTGCGAGGTGCAGCCGTTCGTGGCGTTAATAACCTCATGCATCATCTGCGGGCGAAAAATTCTCTCCTGGTCGCTGACGCAGCAACAAAAAACTGAATGCAGCGGTTTAACGTAGCGTCAGTGTGCGCGCAGAACATGGAGTGTCGCGCAATTGCACGCCGATTGTGAAGATAAACGTCGCGGAAAATATGCGACAAAATTCGCTATTATACGACGATCGAAATCTCGACATATTCGACTATTACCAGTCTTAACAATCCTTTCATTGTTAACAATTGTTTTTCATACACAATGAGAATTGTTTAAATGGAGTTGTTAAAAGAATAAATTGTTAACAGACGTGTTAAAATGTATGCACTGAGAGAAAAAATTATCAATTTAACTAAAATTGCAGTTATTTTTTGTTGCAATTATATTTTTTGTATTAAAATCGTAACATATAGTAACATGCATATAAGATTATCATCATTAATGTTATAGTAGAATTTTATTTTAAAAGAGTGTTTTTCTTCAGCATAATCTGTGGTAATTATTTCATATTATAACTGTATAATTATAGTTACAAATATATTAAACGTTTTTATTCTCAGTGCATTAATTTATTAGATGCACATATAATTGAACAAAAAAGTCCTCTATTATTTTGCAAATAATCACATAGATTTTTAAGTATTAATTAAAGAAGATGAGTGCATTATCACGCAAAATCGTGCAATAAACTTCTTTAATTAATAATTAAAAATCTATGTGATTATTTGGAAAATGGTAGAGGACTTTTTTGTTCAATTTGACCTAAAGTATAAGTACACAACGGTAGTCAACGCTACTATAACTTATTTACCATATTCTGCAAGATCATTTACAGGTTTTTTACAATTAATATCTTGATAATTATTGTGAATATTGTATAGGACTTTTATGTTCACCTCAACCTGTTCTACGTCCCCACAAAATGCCCGAAGAAGAGTGTGAGACACCCTGTATATACACACACACAGCCGCATATCCACGCATAATACGCACACACATAACACATAGATTGAAAAAAATTCAGAAAAAAAATATATATGTGTGTGTACGGTTTATCATTCAATGCTGACTCTCGCGGTATTCCGATATTATTGTATTCCACACGTCCAACCAGATCCTGTCTGGATTCAGTCTGGTGGACTATGAAATTACGAGAGTTACGGTGTTTTCGACCGGTGCGCGTCAAAGGCAAACTGATGGTGCATTTTGGTATTTTGCCAAAACGAAGGTAAAATGGAAGTGAAAGCGAGGAAGGTGGAGGCAAACCTGAAAGGGAGATAAAGGGGTGGAGAGCAACAGAAAAAAAAATGAATAAATACGCGAGCGCGCGCTGTACAAATGGCAGTCACGATCGACACTCGCGGCCTTTTAAATAAACATCGGATTACCTCTTCCGCGCGGCGAGTTTGAAGGATCGAAAGCGCAGATTGCTTTCTCGGTCATTGATTGACGTCCTTTGCGGCTATTGCACGCGTGTTCGCACGCGTAAACACGACAAACGCTTCGAAACGCGATTGGAGGTATTCGCGGGCGGTAATGAAGCACTTGAACGTTTAAAAGCTATATTTTTAATTAAAAAGTACATGTCCCAGAAAAAGAGTCGCGTCATATTTCATCAGTCGCGCGTTTTCCGCGCCGCAACGTACGCGAAACGCCAATACGACGGATGCTGGGTTTGATGATATGAGATCGTATAGCTGTAATGCCGTCGTGGGGTTATCCGCCTGCCTTTATCCGGTCCATCCGTAATTAAATTCCGGCGATCGAACTAACTGAAAGTCACGCGTGATTGCACGGCCCTTTGCGCGCGTGGCACTAAGGAATTTTGTTGAACTGCCGAAGACATTCGACCCTATAATGCTCCACCTTTGAGGTTTATTATCGCGGCGCGAAGAGAGAATGTTCCTGGAATTAGATGTAATAAGGTCAATCGTGCGGTTATCGATCACACGGTACTCCTTCCTCGATATCGAATTCTTACTCGTTGTCGATTGGAAAATAAATAAAATTCCTCTTTCCGCCACGAATCGGTCTAATATCTATCGCTAATTGAGAAGGGAGATATTTCCCGATGTTAGAGGAAGATCGCGTATAGTCACGTATGAAAATTATCGTCGCCACGAGTGTATCGTAAAAATGGCTTCTTTGAGCAATTATTTAATTGCCGGTGCGGATAATTGTCAGAGTGACGATTTATAACGGTCGTAGAGACGGTCATACTTCCACCGACGTCTCGGGACTTAGTATTTTCTGAAGCCATTATTTCTCACCAAGACAGCACATGCGACAAACGAGCAGCAGCGCGTATTCCGCTACTCGTAGGTTTCGTAATTTACGGGCCGTGTCCGCCATAAGTCATTTAATTTTGTCCGGCGGACTCTGCGGCAAGATGAAAACGCCGGCAATGTCAAAGATTCCGCCGTAATTAGGAATTTACGCTTGATATGTTGTCAACGCGATTTTTGATTCAACGACAGAGAAACTTGAATAATGTGTTTACCTTAATCTTGAATAACGTGTTTACCTTAAAAATTTGTGATAAATAATTTTACTCTATATATATATATATATATATATATGATATCTTAGCTCCATTTCATAATCTCTCGTGAAGACGTATTGAAATGAACAAAAAAATTCAATATTGTTTTGCGAAGATCGCAATAATGATCGAGATATTAATTGTGGAAAATTTGTGTGAATGATCACACGTGATATGAACTGTAGTGGCGATATGTGTTATTGTGTGTGTTTGTACATTAAGTCAAATTAAACAAAAAAATGCTTATCATTTTGCAAATCAACACGTAGATTTTTAGTTATTAATGAAAGAAAATTGTTACATTATGCGCGATAACGCATAAATCTTTAGTTAAAAATCTAGAAATCTTTATCTAACAATCTATGTTGTCATTTGCAAAATGGTAGAGGATCCTTTCGTTCAGTTTGATCTAATATACAAGCACACGACGGCAGACGTCGTCATTACAGCTCATCTACTATATCGAGCATTGTTTACAAATCTTCTTTAATTTAAATCTCGATAATTATTGCGAATATCGCAAAACGGTATTGGACTGTTGTGTTTATCTCAATTCGCTCACGAGAAATCGAGACACCTTGTATGTTAGGAACTAAAATGTGCTATTAAAAAATTTGGAAAGAATGTTCCTAGAGGAATTTATTATCTTATAAAATCTTATAATAATTTTTAAATTTTTAATCTTATAACATTTTTTCCCCGTGTAAATGTTGTCTATTTTCCAACGTCCTGGTTTCCCAATCCAGCATCCTGCTCGCATCATGGCATTCGAATATTAATTCGATTAGTTTCTGATACATATATATATATATATATATATATATATATATATATATATATGTAATATATATATATATATATATATATATATATATATATATATATATATA